TGACGATTGTTTGATGGTCAGTTTCGTAGACTCTTTATTTCTTGGTCGAGGAGTTATCTTTATGGTTCTTAATCTTTGTGTTATTTAAGGAAATAAAGTCTGCGGGGCCCAAGCTGTGTCAGCTTAAGCGGGTGATGCACAATGTGCATAAATAATTTTGGATATACTTATAGATATGTTATCACTTAATGACAAAATAATGTTATTGTAGAAAATAGAAGAAGAAGAATGATAAGCTTAGTGAACAACACTTATGTGTATAATACTATAAAAATGAAGCAAAAGGTTTTAGAATGTTATAAAAGCAAGAATTATAGATCTCATTGAAGTGCCATGATTGAGTGAGGCTATATGCCAACGGTGCACAAGAAGCCTGCCCTCTCAAAACTGGGCTTCAACTAATGCAATAAAAACTTCTATAGGGCTTATCTTTTATTGTTTCATCGTGTCAGGAGGCATTCTCCATAAATTGTTTATTCACCATTTTCAAGGAAGGTGTCTATTTTGTTACTTTCAGTAATTTGATACTGGAAGATAATCTATTGCATAGGTCAATGTAGTTTTTTGCTTTCCATTTGATTGGGGTACTTTTTTGCCCTTAGTTTGATTGCTTGTTGCTTTCCTATAACATTCATGGGACTAACTTGAAATTTTTGTGATGATTCACTATACAGGTTTTGGTCGAATTGGAAGATTGGTTTTACGGATTGCAATCTCCAGGGATGATATTGATGTCGTAGCGGTTAATGATCCGTTTGTTGATGCTAAATACATGGTATGCAGAAGTTTAGTTAACGATCCATTTGGATGTTAAGTACGTAGCAAGGATAAGTTTGATAGGGAATTTTTTTTTTCTCATACATATATAGGGTTAGTGGGGTGTAAATTGAAATTAGTTTCTTGTGCTTGTTTGCTAAATTTTTCAATCGGAAGGAAATTAACTTTCATTAGATGTAGCAAAATACAAAAAGTGATGAGAAATCAGCTCAAAGCCAAGAGGAGACACAAAGAATGATTCTACGTACTTATACGAAGAGCTCCAAGGGAAGCTTTAGAAAGTATGATATCCTATACTTCTTCTCCACCTTCCTGGATTTGAAGGGATTGCAAACCCAAGATTTTGTTTCCCCTTCTTTCACTATGAAATTTCAACTTTATAGGCCTCAAAGGGCAGCCCGATTAGCAAGGACTTGAGGTTTCTTGGTCATACTGGCTTAGAGGTCTTAAGTTCGAACTTTTTAGTGAGCTTAATACCAAAAGCCCTTGATGTCTCCCGAGTTCAGGCCTGGGGTGGGCGCCCTGGGTATAGGGAAGCAAAACCCGAACTCCCAATTATAAAAAAATAATTAAAAAGGGAGAAAATTCGGCATTACTTGTTAAGTAAGTTCTGTTCTAGATAGGACAGTCTATGTGAACATTGTTATTGAAAGGGACTCAAAGTTACCTGACTTCTTGTTGTTTGTGTAATTACCTGACTTCTTGTTGTTTGTGTAATTTTCTTCCATTGATAGGGATATCTTTGTTTAACATAACATCCTGATGGTTAAGTTTCGCATGGAGGAAATATTTATCATGTTCTTCCTATTAATCCAGGCTTACATGTTCAAATACGATTCTACTCATGGGATTTTCAATGGAACCATCAAGGTTCTCAGTGATTCAACCTTGGAAATTAATGGGAAGCAGATCAAAGTTGTAAGCAAAAGGTAACAGGATATTTTATTCTCTAAAATATTATAGAATTAGAAATTAGTGTTGTGAGTAGTTTAACCTGTAAAAGTCTTTTGATGTTCTTTTTTATTCTGTTGTTTGATTCTATAGCAAATAAACTCCATTGGAGACTTAATGAAAAGTGCAGTTTCCTAAAAAAAAAAAAAAAAACTCCATTGGAGACTGATTCTTGTGATTCATACTCAGGGACCCTGCAGAGATCCCTTGGGGTGATTATGGGGCTGAATATGTTGTCGAATCCTCTGGAGTTTTCACTACAAGAGAGAAGGCTTCAGCACACTTGAAGGTTGATGTTGATTATTGATGTATCATCCACTCCTGTTCTAATTTCTTGCTTATCCCATCCGCTTGATGTCTTTGAACCACAAGTTAAAAAAGTTTCACTTTGCACTGTAGGGCGGTGCTAAGAAAGTTGTAATATCAGCTCCATCAGCCGATGCACCAATGTTTGTTGTTGGTGTTAATGAAAAAACGTACAAGCCGACAATGGATATTGTCTCCAATGCAAGTTGTACTACCAACTGTCTTGCACCTCTTGCCAAGGTATGATGGAACTCTGAATGTGTTGAGTATTTTGGCATGTTTTTCTTGGATTTGTATTTACTGTGTGGTTTATAGTAAGACACATGTATAATTTTCACTCCATTATAACTATAGAGACTTGGCACCCTTTGTTCTCTATACGAGCTCTACCTGACTCAAATTGTCTGCTATGCCATGTAGGTTGTTCATGAGGAATTTGGTATTGTTGAAGGTCTAATGACTACAGTGCATGCAACGACAGGTCCCTCATTCTCTCTCAAGCTCCTAAGTTATTTTATGTGCGCCAAATGCCAATTGTATTTTTTCTTCTTTTCTTTTCAGCAACGCAAAAGACTGTTGATGGCCCTTCAATGAAGGATTGGAGAGGAGGCCGTGGTGCTGCACAAAATATAATTCCTAGCTCAACTGGTGCTGCCAAGGTATGTAGCCTATAAAATTTATAAATCTTTGTGGTTTGTTCAATCAATTGAAAAAGTCATGGATTTTTTTTTTTTAAATTGATTTTTAACTGCAGGCTGTTGGTAAAGTTCTTCCAGAGCTAAATGGAAAGCTTACTGGAATGGCTTTCCGTGTCCCAACACCCAATGTATCTGTTGTAGACTTGACTTGCCGACTTGAAAAGAGTGCTTCATATGAAGATGTAAAGGCAGCAGTAAAGTACGTCTTGCACTCGATCAGTGTGCCTTTCATTAAGTTTTCCCCGATTCAAATTTAGTTTTTTCCATGCTTGATGACCATTGGGATACTCTTTCAATATTCTTCTGAAGGCATGCCTCCGAAGGTCCATTGAATGGCATTCTTGGATATACTGATGAGGATGTTGTCTCCACTGATTTTCTTGGTGATTCGAGGTATGAAATTTTTCAGCATATTCTGGCTCAATTTGTGTGGCTGTACCGTACTAGATGTGGAAAATGGGATAAAGAAATAACTGATCAAATATAGTTTGTAAAAGAAATACTTTTAATTTGAGGGTCTGAATAACATGATTTAATGGTGTTGTAGGTCAAGTATATTCGATGCAAAGGCTGGAATAGGTCTCAGCACCTCATTCATGAAGCTCGTGACGTGGTACGACAATGAATGGGGATACAGGTATTCTCTCCCTATACTTCACACATTTTCACATTCTAATATCTTATGGACTGATGTTCTATAATTAAAATTATTTTTGGGATGGCTCATATCGAGTATTGTTCGTCTTTGCAGCAACCGAGTACTGGACCTCATTGAGCACATGGCATTGGTTTCGGCCTACAACTAAATGCTAGAAGAGAATTGTCAGTGGCTAAGCCCCCACAACTGGTAGTGATTTTGGTCCTCCTAGTAGTTGATGGAAGTGAGATAGATGTCTATTTTTTATTGGAATGGATTCATTCGGTTGTTTATGTAGAAGTTAGATCTTAGAGCATGAAATAAGGAAACATTTAACATGCAAGAGTGAGTGCATTCTTCCAGTAAACATATCTGGAGCGGCAGATTCAATATAAGTAATTGTGAAAGAACCTTTCCATTTCTTTATCCTCTCTGTGTTTCAACTTTCAATGTATTTTGTTCACATTGATCGACTTATTTGAAGGCGATCGAGACAATGGCATGAACCGAAGTCAAACAGTTTCTTCCACTGGCAGCTCTATTGATTGAACAAAGTCTTCCAGCAAGCATTATGAATGGTTTGTCTTTCTCCTTTGGATCTTTTACTATAGTCATCTTCTAAATTGGATTTTTGTTCAATTGCTGGGATTTTCTAGTGAGACACACGTCGCATATATTTTGCATAATATGATGATTGAGGTCATGGTTACGATGGCAGAATATTCTACTATCCTTTTCACTTGGTGAATTAGGTTCAACCACTCCTCTATGTCAATGGATTTTCCTGATGTTAATTTCTTCTTGATCAGTTTCTCGTTTGGCCTCATGCTATTATCGCCTTCCTAACATTAGCCATGGGCGGGGCGAGAGAATGGTATTTAATGACAAATGTTATATGAGGGATTGAAACAATGTGTTGGTCGGGAGACCATAATATGGCAATCACATTGAAGAATCTTTCTTCTGCATTTCTATGTTTTAAGGAATATCATGAATATTTATGAATTACAACAAGTGAATTTATGTTATCTGTTGCAATTATTCTCTTCCGAAAGAATTCCATTCCTTGTACTATTAAATATATTAATATCATGATAATGGGCTTTGGACCTCATTGCGCATTCGGATTTTGTACAAATCCTTTTGACGCGTTTGATTATCGTATAAATATTTCATATTTTAAAAAAAACAATTAAGCTAAAACTTTAGAGAAAAAGACTCAATTATTTAATCTTGACGAAATAGAGAACAAGAAATTTTAATTAGTGATCATCGAAGAACACCTAAACATTTTTTATTTTGGAAAAAAAAATCAGAAAAAGGAAAACTAGTAATATGAAACATGGAATTCCGAAGAAGTTATCAATATTTCTACCTCGGTTTTCCCCCAAACTTGCTCCAATCCAACCATGAAAATAACACATATTTAAACAGTTTTCTTCTTTTTCTAAAAAATACATTTTACCCCCAAAAGATTGGACGTTCAAGATATGTTGCATGAAAGGAAAAAAAAATCTTAAAAAAGATTAAGAAAAAAAAAACACATCAAACGCCAAAGTGGAAAAAAGCACAGATGAATTTAGTTATAGGAAAGCACGTAAGCTCCTACAAAGCATTTTCACAACACAAAGTATTTCAATTATTTAAACAAACCTCTTACTTTCACAACACCCAAATTCAGAATGCATGTCAAATCACCCCTTTTCTCATCAAATAATCCAACACTTTTCATGCCCTTGTTTACTGAATCCACTCTTCTGATCTATTATATTCAACTCATCCATATTACTCAGCAACACTGTACCATCGTCTTTCCCTTTATAATGGTCTCTCTGGTTTAAGTAACAGAAGGTTCCTTCCTTCTAACCAGATTCTTAGCTCGGCTTTCAGCACAAAAAATGGCAGAAAATCCTAGAACAGATTCTTTCAGAACAGAGCTTTTGTCACCGGAGGGTGTGGCTGCTGGGACGGATGGAATGGTGGCCAAGGTGCCCTCATGGCGACTCAATATGGACAAGTTCCGCTTGCCGGCTACTACAAGCAAGAGATCTCATCATGGCATTGTTTACTACTGGAAGTCATGGAGTAAGCTTTCCAAATGCATATCTTCTTCTACTGTTACTTGAGTTACCTTCAACAGAGAAATTTTGGGGCTAATGAGCGTTTCTACTTTGACCCTAGAGAGACAGAGAAAGGTTGCTAAGTACTATGAAAAGCAGGAAAGTCTTGTCAAAGGATTCAATGAAGTCGACTCCTACAATGAACTGGGTGTTGTGCCTGGAACTTTAACAGAGGTCTCTCCTTTCTCTCTCTCTCTCTCGAACACTCACACTTTCTTCTCAGACACATTACACATTCACCTAGTTTTCAATATTTCAGGATGAAAAGAAGCAAGAGGAGAAGAATGAGAGATGGGCAATATATACATCTAATGTAGCTAACATGGTGATCTTCGTCGCAAAAGTGTATGCTTCGGTTGAGAGCAGATCACTAGCAGTTATAGCTTCAACACTAGATTCCCTGTTGGATCTTTTATCAGGTTTTATATTATGGTTTACAGCTTATGCAATGAGAAAGCCAAATCAGTATCGATATCCTATCGGCAAGAATCGAATGCAACCTGTGGCAAGTTCTCTCTATCAACTAAGCTTAGCTACTTAATTAGCAGAAGAGTCTCTGTTGGATGAAGAATGGGAATGCTAGTCTAAGAAATAACTCCACACCCAATGTTTTTAAAGATGAAAGCAAGAAATTTTTTGTGTTGTCATAGAATCAATAAACAAGTTCACCAGTAGAATAAAAGTCAAGTCTTCTTAGAACATATACAGAAGAAAGCAAAATTGCATGGACTAACCTTTCAAATTTATGCCAGGGAATTGTTGTGTTTGCATCAGTCATGGCGACTCTTGGAATACAAATATTGCTTGAATCAGCTCGAGAACTTATTTCAAAGGTAACTAGTTCATTATCAATCGATACAAGAGAACACACCTGTATTTTTTCCATATTTGCGTCTATGATTTCAGGCTCAACCAGATAGAGATCCAGATAAAGTAAAATGGATGGTTGGAATAATGGCATCCGTGACAGTAGTGAAATTTTGCCTCACTATATACTGTCGCAGATTCACAAATGAAATCATCAGAGCCTATGCCCAAGATCATTTCTTCGATGTAATTACCAATTCAATTGGTCTTGCGACTGCCCTTTTGGCTATCAAATTCTACTGGTGGCTTGATCCCCTTGGAGCTATCCTGGTAAGTTCGCCACACACAGGATTCATATCAGTCTCTACTCATTAACATACTATACACTAATTACATCTATTTTCACATATTATGTATATGTTATAGATAGCATTGTACACTATCAGCAATTGGTCGAAGACCGTGATAGAAAATGTATGGTCACTAATAGGGAGGACAGCCCCACCAGACTACTTGGCAAAAATAACATATCTAGTATGGAATCATCACGAGGAAATCAAACACATCGATACAGTTAGAGCATATACCTTCGGCTGCAACTATTTTGTGGAGGTGGACATAGTGTTGCCTGGAGAAATGTCTCTCAGTCAAGCACATGACATCGGAGAAACACTCCAAGATAAACTTGAACAGCTTGATGAGGTTGATCGAGCTTTTGTTCATGTGGACTTTGAGTTCACTCATAAGCCAGAGCACAAGCCTAAAGCTTCATAAATGGTGAATAACCAATATGTATGTTGCATGGATTCCTTGAAGAGAGTGATTTGAATTGTGGTTCTTTGACTATTCAATTGTGTAAATCATACACATGCAGCACACAATTTTCAGTTTCCCAATAAAAACGGATCTGCCCTATAATGATTAACATTTTACCGAAAGTCTACGAAAATCAAGTCAACTCCGTCCTGTGATGATAAACATTTGACTGAAACTTGTACCAAGAAAATAACATGGGGATTGTGCATTTAAAACTAAAGCATCCAGGAAAATTTTAATAATTTCAAATGGAGAAGCTTCTCGGTGTCTGACAACATGAGGAGAATTAATGCAACAATTGAAATGAAAAGAATAACACTCAACAACATGCATCAACTCTCAATGATCATAAGCCAGACAAACATAGAGTCAGTTTCTATATTACTGGAGATCTAGAAGACTCTTGAATGATCCATTAAACAACTATGGAAATGCCATCCTTCTTGGGGGGAAGCACTACATTCTTGTTTCCAGGAAATGCATTACGAGAGATGTCTACCAGGGCCTTGAAACTATAAGGTTCGTGCATTGAGATCTCTGATAATACTTTTCTGTTTAGTTGAACGTTCTCCTTCATCAGCCCATGCATAAAATTGCCATAATTTACCTAATATGGTAGGGTGGGAGACAAAAAAAAAAAAAAAACACGTTAGTCTCTCTACATGGAAAATTATCCAAACATATAGAAGTATAATATTTTTGAGTAACTTGTAAAGAATTCAACATTGATCGGGAATAAGAGGCAATTCATATTGATGTAGAAAGTGAGAAACCTACCACAATCATAGAACATTCTGAATAATTTACGTGTTTCCCAAGTAGATGTTATTGAAATAGAAGAAGCAAATTGATCATGGAGAACACAAGTATTATTAAATTTACAGTAATTATTCGACCTAAAGAAAATTTCATTTCTCCCACTAAAAAATTAAACCAGTAGAGCAGAAAGTGCAGAACTTCATGAATCACATAAAACTATGCAATTTGGAACTTCAACTACCCGAAGGTCAAGTTTTTCTTGTGGAGTCTAGCCTACAGAATTTTAAATACCCTTGATAAGTTGCAGAAAAGCTTCCTACTTGGAGTTTATCTCCCTCAGTGTGCTGTTTTTGCTTAAATAATGCTGAAAGTATTGACCACATCTCCTTGTACTTGTGCTTCCAAATGTGGTTCTTGTTGGGGGGAATTCAGTTTTCTAGCTATTTTCCCAAGCTTGTGGATGAGTAGCTTCTTGAAGTTCTTCAGGGTTGGTTCTTGAAAGGAAAGGCCAAACTCCAAAGTCCTTTGGAGTTGTGTTGCTAGATCTATTTTTCAGTGCATTTGGAAGGAAAGAAATCAATGAGTTTTCAACGACATTGCCCGTCCCTTTGAGGATTTTTGTGAATGTGGACAAATTAGTACGCCCTTGTGGTGTCTTAACCCTAAGAATTCTTTTGTAACTACAGTTTAGTCAGGATCAATTTGGGTTGGAAAGTTGTATTTTTCTAGCTCTTTTGGGGATCCCACATCCCCTACCCTTAGTCTGTCCCCTATTTTTTTGAGCAATATACTCTGTTTTTTAATAAAAATAAAAATTAAAAAAAAGGTCTAGAAAGAACGAAAGGAACAGGCTTAGAAGCCAAAATTAAGGGACATGAGAATAACAGAGGTGGAAATTTGAAAAGCAGTTTCCCCCATTCCTCAGCCCCCACCCAAAAAAAAGGAGGAAATAAATCTTCAACGGTCTAATAAGAGGAAGTCACTGTCCTCCACAATCACATCCAACAGTCCAAAAGAATGATGCAACTGGTAATATTGATCGTCTATAGGATATACCTCTTTTCATCTCTCTCAATAGAACATGGTAACCTATTGAGTAGCACAACTTTCCAACACATGACATCTTTAGATTGTAATTTTAAGAACAAATATTTATTAGGATTACTAATTTACTATGGTGCTCGCAATAAAGTGCCATTATTCTGGTTGACAAAAGTTAAATTTTTACATTTTGATCTTACTAGTAACAAGTAATTTACTTTACTCTTGATTGAAATTTGTACAATTGATCTTGTTTAAGATGGGGAAGCTTCATCTTTCAATTTCTTTGTTTGGTTCAAAGATCCCATCCCCCATCTATTCTTCTTCAAAAACCTTTTTCATTCTATATATATATATATATATATATTATGTATATATGTATTTTGGAGGAAAAGAAAAAGAACAAGAACAAGAAAAAGAAAGGAAAAACAAAAGCAAATTAAGAAACTCAATACAAAGAGTGATTCTAAATCATAAATATCTCATAAACTCTGTGGTAGTCTGATGAAGAAAATTCAAGGAAAATGCACATACCCCATGAAGGCGTGTACCAGCATTGATGCGTTGTATCCAAAGGGAGCGCATGTCGCGCTTCTTATTGCGACGGTCCCTGTAGGAATACTGGAGAGCCTTCTCCACCCGCTCTCTGGCAATCCTTATGCAATTCTTGGCCCTTCCTCTGAAACCCTTGGCTAGCTTAAATATCTTGTCCTTGTTCATATTTTTTCCTTTGCTCTACAACTAATATTCATCAGCGTTAGTAATTGATCAATCATATACGAGTGTCTGACGATTCAAAACTCGAGGAGAGATTGTTTTCTTAAAATTAAACCAAAACAGCATCATTAGAAGTGTAAAGTCGAAAATGCAAAAAAAACAAATAAATAAAATAAGTCGAACTATCAAATACAAGAAACAAGTAATGACGATTAGAAACAATGTGACTTTCAAAATTTTCAGCTTTAGGTTTTTGGTTGAGTTCTGATATCCATTAGGAGGCAAGGTCTTGGAATAGGTTGCTAAAGAATTCCGTCGCTTCCCCCACTATTTCGCACCAGTGAACAGCGCCGAGAGCGAAACTTTTTCTGTATAGCCTACATCTCATTTCCCTTCGGGTCGTTGTTCTCAACATACACTTCACAAATAAAAAAGAAGAGTAGGGCTTTTACTCACCTCAATCTCTTTGCTGAAAAACAATACAGGAAGCTAAAGAGTGAAGAATGGCCGACGGCGAACACAGAAAAATAAGAAGAACAAGAGGCGGCGGCGTTGAGAGGAAAGAAGAAGACGAAGAGAGGAGGAGGCGTAAACTTATATGAGCATACGGCAGAAGGCTTGGGCAATTCATCAAACACTAGGCAGGCATACGCAAATAGAAAATCAGGAGGAAATTGAACACTCGACATACGAACACATACAAATTATATTAACTTTGTGCAGTAATTTCTGGAGTTGTGCGAGTTTTCTTCTACCTTACTACAGCTAAAGATTGAAAGCAGCGTGGGTCGGAAGCGAGTACAGGCGAAACAATGCTGCAATTACGTTAAACTTGTTGCGGAGATGGTGTATTCTTGAAGACGATTACCAGAGGAGCTGCGGCTGCCGATTGATCGATCGGATAGCGGCGGAATTGGCAGAGAGAATTTGCAGAATGCAGCAATCGTTGCGAGCTTCTGTGGTATTTTGCCAAAAATGGCGTATAATATGCATAGCAAAGGCAACCTAAAGACAACGGTTCGGTTTTCAGCTAACCCGGATAGCGAACCGATATTTTCAATTTGAGATATTGGACCCCGGTTCCAATTAACCAGACCGATTTTCAATTGGATCGATTTGGAAGAAAAGGACTGTGGGTCTGTAATAATAAATACTTTTTCTAACAAAACATATTATTTTGAATCACTCAAATTAACAAAATACTATTTGATAAATTTAATTTTTGTTTGTGAACTTCCCATGTCTGAACGTGTGCAAGTGCATAGTGTGGAAGGAAAAGAATTAAATAGAGCGGTGATGTAAAATTATGACCCTGAGTCGATCGATGAGGGAGTGAGGTATTGGAAGGAGGGCTTGTAACTGGATATTAGACAATCTGATGCTCAAGTTAGTATTAGTTCAAGTTATTAACTCTCAGCGTGATTTAATCGAAATTTTATATCTGTGTATGGAGTAGGTTTATGAAAGTAGGTTGGTGAGTCTTAAATACTAAGCGATTATAATTGTTACGTAATTTGTAGTGTTTTGTTGGAAAGACGGTTGAGTGGTTTTGTGATACAGTTAATCTTTAGTCGAGCTATAAATTAAGAGCAAGGTACTCTATGGCCGAGCTATCATTTAAAGTCGACATATTGCTATTTGTGGTAAAAAGAGTTCGAGGCTTTGTACCTCAACTTATAATCCGCTCTTCTTATTAATCCAGTGTCATGTCAACTTAGATTTAAAAAAAAAATTTATACAAATACACTCAATATTTTAAATTTATCCTCCGTAAATTTTCATTATTGAAATATTTAAGTTTGGCCTTCATAAATATAAGTAAGACCTAAGAGCAGTGAAAATAATTATCCTTTTTATTTTTGTTTGTTAAATTAAAAAAAAAAGTTTAATTGTAAACTTTAGTCTTATTTTGAAAACCTCTCTATTTTAAATTCATATAAATTTCATAAATACCATTTGAGTAAACATTCTTAATATTTTGAACAAAACCACTCAACCATCTTTCCAACAAAACACTGCAAATTACGTAACAATTATAATCCGCTTAGTAAGTAAGACCCACCAACCTACTTTCATAAATACGAAAACCTATTCCATACACAGATATAAAATTTCAATTACTTGTATTGAGAGTAAATAACTTGAACTAATACTAACTTGAGCATCAGATTGTCTAATATTTAGTTACAAGCCCTCCTTCCAATACCTCACTCCCTCATCGATCGACTCAGGGTCATAATTCTACATCAACACTCTATTTAGTTCGTTTCCTTCCACACTATGCACTTGCACACGTTCTGACATGGGAAGTTCACAAACAAAAATTTTAAATATATAAAAATATATATATATGATAAAAGTTATCATCTTTTAAAAAGCAAAAATTGGACCAATAATACCATTCAATTGCCATATAATTCTATATTTTATCAAATATATTTTTAAAATATTTATGAAATGTCTAAGGATAGAAGTACGTATTAATCTCTTCATGTGATTCAATATGCCTAAAACTTTTGAAGGGAAAAATTCTATTTAAAAAAAAGTAAAATATGCTTCTGGTATCGAAATTTTGTAAAACATTGCATCAATCCATTCATCAATCTGCCCTTGTTTATTTGTTGCCTTTTTGTTTGCTGCTCTTTAATCAAGTTCGAATCTCCTTTTAAAATGATTAGGGATATTTTTTTAGCAGCTGAGAGGTATTTTATTTTATTTTTTAATAAAAAAAGAGACCGATAAAATTTAACCTTAAATTTAAATAAATTATTGATGGATATGAATTATAAGACTATGGGTTCGGAACTGGATGTCATCTGAGTTCCCGCTCAAGAGTTGAAAGGGAGGGGTCATTTCGCTCCCAACGAACGCAGAAGAATGCAGCAGCTGCAATCCCGCCTTCTCAAGTCTTTCTCCATATCTTCATCATCAATCCAAGAAATTGCTTCTGCTTCCCCCAAAGGTCAGTGTCAGTCAATGATTTATATACGTTTATGTTTATGTTTTTGTTAACCGCGTGATTGCTGAGCGTTTAACCTTTATGGGTGCACCCAAATCCATATTTATCCATACATTCTTCAGTTTTCATTCCGTTTACTCTTCTCAATTGCTCGTATTGATGATGGGGTACTGGAATTGGATAGTTACGAAGCTAGAAACCTGATAATGTCGATTTTGTTCTGCGATAGGTTTTATTCTTTTTTTATTAAACTGTGGAATTCGGGCTTGGTAGGTTTGGCCAAGGTTGTACTGAAAAAGGGGAAGGCACAACTTTTTAAGGATGGAAGTCCTATGGTGTACAGTGGAGCTGTTGACAGAATAATTGGAAGGCCACCACCAAAAACTGGAGATGTTGTGCTGGTAGCTGATGGGACTGAGAAACCTATAGGGTGGGGTTTGTATAATTCAGTTTCCATGTTCTCTGTGAGATTGATGCAGTTGGAAGAGGAGGCAGCGAGGTACTGAGCTCACCAATGCTTGAACTCTGTGGTGCAGATCGCCTTCCTTATGATGTGGTGCTAAGTTTCTAATTTATGCGATACAGAGACCCTTCATGCACATTGGATATCGAGAAACTGATTGAAACAAGGATACATACTGCTATGGAATTACGAAAGAACTTGGGACTTCCATCAGCCAGTACTAATGCGTATCGCCTTGTTAACAGTGAAGGAGACAGGTATCGACCTCGAGTACTTTGTTCGTACATTATGCATTCCATATCTGTAAAACTTGACTAAATTTCGTCAACACTATGCATTTAGCTTCATTTTTTAACTCTATCTGTTAGTTTATATATATTCTGTTTTAGAGGGAGGGGTGTGTGAGGCTCTCAGTCTGTAACTAATTCTTAACGTTTTGTAAAATCTACCCAAACCATCATTTCTCGCATGTTTTGTTCCAAATCTTTTGATTGCATACTGGAGCCTATAATATCTTTATCCAAATGTGTTACTATTATTTTATTGCAGATTGTCAGGATTAATCATTGACGTCTTTGGAGATTTAGCAGTGGTAGCATCATCTGCTGCTTGGGTGGAGAAGTACAAAGCTGAAATCGAGTATTGTGTTCGTCGAATCGATGAAATCAATCATGTGAAATGGAGACCATCGGTGGAAATTCTGAAAGAAGAAGGGATAGATGTGTCTGAATTAAAGGATATGAACCCGTCTACTTGTCCTTTCAGGACAAAGGTAGCAAACCACTGCAACATTTGTATTGTTTCAAAAAAGATTCTTATTAGATAACTTAAAATGAATTCATTGTTTGCATTTTTATGTCTGGGACATTTCTCTACATAATTGAGATAAACCAGGTCCATGCCATGAAATATTTATGGTCATCTCCATGAAGGTAATGGCTCTCATGTGTAATGAATCATGAGTAAAACTGATCCTACATTTTTTAGAAAATCTCTAATGAGTGTCAAAAATCGCCTCCTCTGTTCCTTGATACCAACAAGGGGTAGTACAAGAATGTTCACCTATTGTCCATCGACTACACCTTTTTGAAAACTAGGAGGGGCCGGAGTTGCTTGCATGAGTAAGCCTTATACATGCTCCCATTACTGGATTGTGATCTATGTGGTGAAAAACTTGGTAACAAGAGAATCAACGAGATCATAATGTTAATGTAGAGGATACTTGTAAACTGATCAATGCATACAAATAACGAACATGCCTTTTCCTGATAGGCAAGGGAGAATGGAATTTTTTACGCTATTTCACTTGAAGGCCAGAAAACAGGGTTTTATGCTGATCAGCGTGAAAACCGTCATTTTATCTCAACGATTTCAGAGGGTCAGAGAGTTCTTGATCTCTGCTGCTACAGTGGTGGGTTTTCTCTAAATGCAGCACGTGGTGGAGCTAGTGATGTCACTGGTATACATTTTATCTTCTGTGTATATAATTGGAACATTTTCACATGCTCGTACCATTGTCTTAAATCAAATGTTTGGAAGAGAATGCTCCGACGGAGACACTAACTATTCATACTTAGAAATTCAATCATTTCTGTGTATTTGTTTGTTCCCTATCAAATTAGCTCGCAAACAGCACAACAAGTGGCGTTAATGCTGTTTGTGAGAAGGGGATGGGAAAGAAACAGAGTTCTCTAGAGTACAATGTTACTGTTAACTTCTCTAATAAGTTTGCTAATTATCAGGTATTGATTCATCATTGCCTGCTCTGGAGCTAGCAAAAGAAAACGTGATCCTGAACAACATGGATCCAGAAAAAATATCATTCTTGAAAATGGATGTCACTGCATTCATGAAGGATGCTCTATCTAGAAATGAATCTTGGGATATAGTCATTCTCGATCCTCCAAAACTAGCACCACGGAAGAAGGTATGATGCATTTAATTAATTGTCCTGGTACAGAATGATCAAAAGCTTTTAATTCGTTGATTCTATTCACTCTCAGAACAAAACCACGTGAATCCTTTCAACTTTTTGGTATGAGTGGATTTTTTGGCGTTCTTTCATGAACTTCACAGTAATAACCTTTTAGTCTTTGAAAATCTCACCCAATTACAATTCTTAGAAGTAGTTTTGAAAATCAAACAAGAAATTGATTCGAAAGTAGCATAAATAGAATTAATTTTCTGTACTTGCCGTACATTTACTCCTGATCAAAGTTTTCCATGAAGCATCCTGGTTTTGTATTGGAAAAATGTCTTCAAGTTTGTCAATAATAATTGCCCGCGTGACTGAACGGCCAAATCTATTACCTGTTCCATCTGCTTCCCAAACATTTGTTTGCAGTATCATTTTACTAACTAGAATTTAGCAGGTTCTGCAAACAGCATCAGGCATGTACAGGACTTTAAATTCATTAGCAATGCAACTCACGAGGAAAGGTGGTCTTCTAATGACCTGTTCATGTTCTGGAGCAATGACACAAAGTGGGATGTTCTTGCAAACGCTCCAGGCAAGTCGAATTCTGCCCCCATCCACATTTTCATTTGTCTCACAATAAAAATTGCCTATTTACACTCCTTACAATAGCATACTATCATTAAGCTGCGAGTGAATCGTCATTTGATTGAGAATACACGTAGACCTTTTAAAACGTATGCCCAAGGATGACCCAGTTTACAGCATCATTTTGGTTTATATATAGTATCTCTTCCATGATCTTGACTTAACTATATGATGATTTTAGCTCATTCAGACCATTTAAGGAAATTAGACTGGTTTATACTTATACCTTCTTTTAATAAACAGGGTGCAGCATCAATGGCGAAAAAGAAAATCACAGTCCTACGACAAGCAGGGGCGGCATGTGATCACCCCATTGACCCAACTTATCCAGAGGGTGCATATCTTTCTAACATCCTTCTGCGTGTACTCTAAAGTCTAAAGTTTCTCCCTCCCCCAATTTATTGCAGTTATAGAGGTAGCCACCATTGATCAGAAAACGCATAAGCTATTTAACATAATGATACTGCATTTGAAGTTACATATCACCTGATACTCCCACACATCTTCATACAAGAAGCAAAAATAGAAGTTCAATTACAATATTCTGTCATACACCCCTGCTCTTTCTCTGTTTTTTTAAAAATTGTCATATGAAAACAATATTACAAATAAAATTACAACAACAAACCGTGTTCTAGCAGCTTCTGTTTCAGTGGCCTCCTGGGCTCCTATTCCATGACAGATATGTGGGGTCCCCTAGTCGCCTGAGATGGTAAGAAAATGACAATAGAATTCATAGCAAGACCATATTATATATATAGGCCTTTTCCAATTTTTTTCAGGACAGCCAACGATTAACAGACCAGACACTCCACCTTTTGAAATTATGTACAAGATAAGCATTCACGAAGTTCAAAGTGTGTGGGAAATTACCTTGGCTTGACAAGATAGACGACTGTGAAAGCCATTGCCAAAAAGAAGCATATCCCACCAACAGTAAGATAAGCAATGCCAAGAAAGTCATTCTTCCCACCAAGCCAGCTAGTTGTAGAAAGCACAAGCTTCTTCTTGCCGTTAAAACTGTATGTGTTGTAATTGTTCTCCAAATCTACATCTATTACATCATTCGGGTTAAGTTCCACCTCTATCCTCCCATACAACTTTCTAAACGTCGGAAGAGCAGCAGTTCTCATCCACACAATAAGATCCTCCTGTTGACTCAACTGTTATGCATAATACAACACACAGGGTCAGGCCAACTGCTCCAAAAAACAACTGTGTTTTTTTTATGTTGTCAACTTTTCCCAGGTTGTTCTAATATCGAGAACAAAGTACCATAGCTCGCACATAAGGATTAAAGTAAAAGTATCTTTTTACTTACTGGTTTGTCTGGATCAAGGCTCTTCCCACCTTTCAGAGTACCATTCTGAAAGTTCTTGGGAAATACATTCTTGCCGAATTTGTGATCCCGGTCACTCTTCCATGAAATGCCTTGCTTGTTCACCGCAATTTGCTTGTTGTTAAGGGTGAAGTTATAAGTATCATTAAACAAACTCCATGCTATTAAACCACAAGGAACAATTGGCTGCCCGTTCGCATTGTCTTCAGGCTTGCAAGAGCCTGTATCGTGCGCACTGCCAGCATCTCTCAATTGCTTATCACTACGGCTCTGCACGTACCTGAATCACACACAACACCGTGACAAGACTTGGTAATTGAACACCCGCAAACAAATAAAAGATTTAGCTCAGTTACAGCATGCGATCAAGAATAAATGGGTGAGGAGATCCAGACCCTTGTATGCAGAATAATATAAGAAACCCCATAAGATTGGGCTAAACACCTGTATCAAGACCTTCATAGACTATCCATTTAATCACCTAATATGCATTTTTTTAGTTTGAAATTAAAGCTTCTAGCATCAATCATACACCAAAGGAAGATGTACCTGCGGTGATTCTGATAGAAATTGTCAAGCTGGTAATAGATATATATCGGTGGTTTCATACGTTTCGGTACCTACATAAAAGTAGATGGAAAAATAAATATTACCATAATGACTCTGATGGCCATCCTGATTCCTGGGATATTAATTTGTTTATGATTAACAAGACCATCTCATCTCAAGACCATATTACATAAAGAAATTTTTTCTTACACTAACTTCCATAAACCATAAGCTACTTTCGAAGTCTTTTGTACGTGTAAGAATCAAATTTGGAAATAGTGATGCAGCCAGAATCTTACTGTTATTCTTCTTCTGCAAGTTTTATTTGCAGTGCTCTGTATGAATCCAACCTTGTCGCCTCTCAATGTTTCTGGTATACACTCGGTTTCATAGCGATCAACTATCTCAATAACCTTACGAAGAGGAAAAAAAGCATCTGAAATCAATTGAATAAACTTGCCATGAAAATGAAATTGGAAAGGAAAAAAGAAAAGTATTCTTGTTTGAACGTACGTCTCTGGAAGCAAACAAGGTAGCAACTCCAATGGGGATAAAGACGATGCTAACTAACATGAATGCGGAAATCACCTGCACGAGGAAATATTCCACTTTGTTTGTATTGATAAAGATAAAGATATAAAAAATATGTGTAAAAGAAACAACAATAAATAAAGCCTACCCATCTTGGTGTGAGAATGGGTTTACACGCTGGAAGCTCCTGCTGGGTAAACCTCGAATCTGGATAAGAATTTCCTTTCAGTTTCATGTGAAATAAACCAAATTCAAAGGAAGAATTTCAGGCGAACACTATCTTTATTCTTAACTTTCAAACAGGAAATCTGGAAGAGTAAACCTAATCATCTCATCAATCTAAGAAGCCTCATAAGACTATCATTTGATCATTACAATCATACAGAGAACATAGGAGAGTTTAATTTACAAGCATTCGGGTAAAGTAAGAGATCCAAAAATTAGCATTAAGAAAGAATTCAAAACCCAAATAGCTGCTTGGAAATAATTAGCATCCCTATCAATCGTTCAATCGAAGGTCAAAACGTGAAAGAAAAGCAACCAAAAGTAAGTTATATACAACTACCATCCGTAAGAACTCGCGAAGATCAACGAAATTAAGGAAAAATTACACTTAGGTCGCTTCGAATTCCTTCTATTAGACGATGAATCGTTCGATCCCGGGCCTCCGGAGCTTGACGCCGTGTTCGAACTCATAATAACTGGATTCCCTTTCTTCTGTAGAAGCTGTCAACCCCCGATCAGAAGGAAACCCAGTTGAACAGAAGACGAATACAACGATGGGTTCCGCGTCAAAACTTTGTCCGAGTCTCGGAGATTTCAGAGAAAGGGAAAATCAGGGGATGGCTATATATCGAAACAAAAAGAACAAAAAACAGACAACAATTATAGGCTCAGCCTTTGGGGCTTCCCGTTGTTTGACTTGAAGAAAGAGGGAAAAAGAAAACGATTAAATAGTAGTTTAATCGTTCTTAATCTCTCTCAAGACGGCCAATCGAAGCTAGACAGGGCAGCCCTTGGTTTCTCTCTCCTCTCCTTCTAGAATGAAGAAGGAGAGAGAGGGAGGGGGGAAATGGAGGAGAAGGGAGGGAAAAGGAAAGGAAAGCTAATGAAGAAGAGGCAATGGCAGACCGCCGAAAACAGGAACGTTCGTTCGATCAATGGGGAATCGAGGAACACGGTGAAACTCCGCTACTTAATTCAATTCTGTTCCCAAAAATTTAAGGGTTCATATTTAATTAACTTAAAGCCACTCCTTTTCCTATTTTTCCTTCCGAGAAAGAAAAATATGTGTATGTTTTAATTTTTAGGTTAGATTATATAAAATTGAAGAAAAAAAACTCCCAATTTTGTATTTTGTTTGAAAAATATATCTATCATTTCACACGTTGTAATATATTATTGATATTTCATAAATGTTTAAATGAATATTAATCTAAAACGACGTGATAAATAATGTGAAAACTTGTCAGGATTAAGTTCGAAATGAGGGTAATATGTGAATTCTTATTCAACGGTAGAATGAGTATACTTCAAATAAATTGAACATAATTCAACGATAATTGAGATTGTTAGTTCGATCTTCCACCATACATGTTATACTAAAAATGATTGCACCTCAACATATAAATAAACTAAATGCAATAAATTGTACAATTTACTAGAACAATTAATTGAAACAACTAAACTAACATATACACTAATATAAATTAAATGATAAGGTGAAAAAAAAAGGAGTAATCGTAAATACAAAATTGAATAGAAAATGAAGATAGGCATTTGGTCGATAATTGAAGCCAACTTTTATTTAACCTAATTTTTATAAAAGAGAAAATGTGATAGAAGCTTCCCATTTTTCAGAGTTTTGGGACCTTTTTTTCCAATTTAACCTAATTTTTATATACAAGTTTATACCGTACGCATACTTATTATTATTATTTTAATTATTTGAATCTTTGACCAGTATTTTTGGGACAAAAATAAGATGGATTTTTCCATGGGCAGCCTTTATAATATGGCTTCTTGACCGTGGACCGCGAAGTTGGATAAAGTTGTAATTTTGGTTTTGGTGGGAAGACTTTTCTTTCATTAATTGGGCTCGTCGATCCATTCAACCGGTACTGGTGCTAGTAGAAATTATGATATCAAAGGAATGTGAAAATAATTGAAAAAATTATGCCTTTTATTTTATAATTCAACACTGCTTTTATTTATATTTATATATTTCTTTATTTTGCATCGGTTTTTTTTTTATCTTTTTAAAATATAAGTTAGATGTTAGAAAATTAAAAAAAATAGTTCTCAAAAACTTATTTTTTGTTTTAGAAAAAGGTTTGTCTCTAATAAAAGGTAAAACATGCTAAAGAAATGGTGAGAAATAAAGATAATTTTTAAAAACATAAAACCAGGAACAATGATCACAAAAAATAAAAAAAAAGCTTAACTTTTTTTCTTTTTTTATGTATTAGGTATGAAAAGTTATTACAATTTCTGTATTTCATAACTTTGAAAGATTAAGTTATATATATTCAACTAAAAAGTTAGAGATTCGAGCCCCACTCATGCGTATTGTTGAAGTAAAAAAAATATCGATTTTAAAGAGATAATTAGTATTTTAATTAGATGAATCATATTTAAATTAATTTTTTATAATTTGTTTTTTATATATAATATTATATTAAATTGGCATAAAATTAAGAAGCCAGTATCTGTATAGATCAATTAATTTGACCATCCATAACTTATAACTCCCAAAATCTAATTCATCCTCCAAATTTGTAAACGGTTTGTAGAATGCTTCTTTTGGATAGATAAATTTATCATTGTCAAAGGAAAAAAAAACAAAAACAAAAACAAAACAGACAAATATTTTCTCCAATTTGCTATTGATACACTAAATATCTTTTTTCTTCCTGAATAATACACTAAATATCTATTACCTTATGGTTAGTTAATTTTAATATTCATCCATAAGAATCGTATAATTACCAAAATAAAATATAACGAGTTAAATTAAAGGAAAAAAACAACGATGACTAACTTTTTTTTAATACAATATATGGGGATGGAGATCGAACTCATAACTCAATTGAAAATATATGTCAATTACTACTAAACTAACAGTGATAATAACTTAAAAAAGAAAAAAAAAAGAAAAAATACTCCAACATCTATTTAATAATATTATTATTTGTTATGAGAAGCATATTTTGCCCCTTTTTTTCTTTTGAAAAATGCTTTTTTTCTTAAAAAATATTTGCAATATTCAACAACTATATACACGTGTACCCATCTTACACCTATATTATTCCAAATGTAATTACAAGTATATCCATAAAATTGTAAATTTAAATATTTTAAAAGTTGATGAATTATTGATTAACGTAAATATGTGTATGTTTTGTTTTATTTTATACAGTCGATGAATGAGTAAATTAATGAGTGACATAAATATTATTGATTAATTATAATCATAAGAGTTGCTGCTTTATTTTTATATTTAAAATGGCTAACATTGATTTATTTGTGTACCAATTAATAGTCATCGCTTGTTATTAACCTGTATTATAGTTTGGATACATTTATAGCTTTTATTTTCATTGTTGTTTGTGTAATATTTCATGTAAGTTACGTTATATTTTTTCAACTACCAAATTGTTCTTTAATGTATTGATTTACTTTAACTAAATCGATATATTAATAATCGAAGAACGACATATATAAATGTCAAATAGTTTATAATTACTATAGTAAAAGACGAAATAAAGAGTTATCATTTAACAAATTATCTAAAACATTCCATCAATAAATTCAATATTGATATTAATATATATACTGTTAGGTTTCACTAATCAATTATATAATTTATCTTTTACCTTTCCTATTTCGAAGGTGAGTTATTTTTTTAATATTTATTTATCCTTTATAAATTTAAAATCATAAACATCTACATAGTGTATACTGGTTTCTTCCTTTGTTTTTATATCATAACATTAAAACGAATATCAAGCAAAACTAAACAAATGAAAATTTAAGTTATAAAATCACGTGCTTGTTTTTCAAATGGGCTAATCTTTTAAAAAATAAATGTTCAAACAAAACATGAAATTATTATAATCTGAAGTTTTAGAATATTAAAACATATGCTAAAATGTATTATTTAATTATAAAATAAAAAAGCGTAGGTATTAATATTGTTTATGCAAAGAATTGTACAATGTCAAACCTTTGGTCAAGCTTGAACTTGGTCCTAGCTCCGATTTGGAACACAACGGAAAGATCTACACAAGAGAGTAAAATCTCCGATGCTCAAATCAATAAGTAACTCAGACTCAATATAAAATTTGAGGAGAAATTTGATACCTGATGGTGAAATGAGACCCTCTATTTATAGGTTTAGGCTCCGACAAGGGTTGCGACAAGCAGTTATCCTGGTCTGAGTTGAGGTCGAATCTATTGGGCTGAGTAGATGGAACCCGAACGGTTTATCCTAATATCAACGACTTAAAAAGAGAAAAAATTGTTAGGTTATCCACCTCATAAGGTGCCGAGGTGGACCTGCAAACACTTTCATCTAGAGGTATTTCCTTTGGCGGATTACTGTCCTCCACGGTGCTACGATTTCCTTCCCCAAACAAATATGTCACACGTGTCATGCAAATAAAAAACCATAACAAAAAAACATAGATATTAGATAGATTAATAATGTTTGAAACATAAACCTTACAGCGATAGAGAAAAAAAGAAGAATAAGAAAACTAAAGTTAAACAGTTTAAATGATCAAAATCAATATAAACATGCCTTGAAATGAAGTTACAAGTCAATTTTATGACTAACTATAAATTTGTTTATTATCTAAAAAAAATTATAACTTGTCCCCTCTATTTATTTTCAAATACATATTCTCATAAATATTTATGTGATAATTACGAACATAGTTGGAATAAATATTAAAAAATAAATACGTAAAACACTTGGTTGAGGTGCAAGTATCTTGTTATTTTTAACGAGATTCAAGTCCCCTACTTTGTGTATTTATTTATTATCTACTAGTGCAACGATTATCTTGTAGCCTATTCCCTCGTAATACGACCCAACTAAAGAGAGAAAATTGATAAAGTCCATAAGATAAAATATATGTTGTATAAGTTGTACGAGTTGTAGAATGAAAATATAGTTATATAGGTGTTTATAGGAACTTTTAAATATACCAAACTTAATAAAAAATATATATTTTTTAACCTATTTTCAAATAAAGAAGCAAAATAGGCTTAAATAGATAAAAATCTCACTCATTTAAAAATTAAAATTCATAATAAATAATAAATATTAGAATGTATCGACAAATATCACATGAGGTAAAGGACCTAATCAAACCAACAAAAACACAATCATATACAAGAAAATTTAATTATATTTAAATATGTATTACAAGTCAAAGCGATCATAATTCAGTCGTAATTGACATATATTTATAATCAAGAGGTCGTGAGTTCGACCTCCACCACACATATTGTACTAAAAAGATATGTTTTACCATTTATTTTATAAAAACACCATTTTTATTTTAAACTATTTATAGAAAAAGGCTTTATTTTTTCAGTAAAATTAATACATAAAACGTGATTTACTCACGATACTAAGTTTTTCTTTTTAATTCAATAAATGTCAAAATTAAATATTGAAGCTTCAAATTTCATAAGGTATAAATACTTCAATTTTAACCACTAAATCATGTTTATATTAGCCTATTAGAAAAATGGTCACAAATTATTAAAAAATGAAAAATAAAAGGGAAAAAACCGTCACAAATATAGAACTATTTATATTTTATACCTCCCATATTAGATGCATTATTTTTCAAATTATTCGAATTATAACAGGACTAAATATTAGCCCATTCCACACATAATTACGTAAATATGATATTAATTAAGACTCCATTTACGCATAAAAAATCATAATAAAAACCAATTAAAATAAGAGTGTTATTTTAATGTTGTTTTTAATAAATCTAATGGAAAAACGGGAAATCTATTTTACTAAAATTATTAGGAATTAACCATCATACCTATGACAAATACTATAATATCCAGTTCAAGTAGCTATTTATCGCTAAAAATTAACTATTTTTTCAGGAAAAAGAACGATGTTATTTTTTAATTTTTTTTTATGGGAGATGGAACCTCCAATATAAGTTATATATATATATATATATATATATATATATTATTTTAGAAAAACATGAGTAAAGTACCTTATCCGCTTAGCTAGGGCTGTTATTAGTAAATTAAAACAATAATGAAATTTAATTTATTAAGGGGAACCATCCCAATTTCCAAAATTGAAAAGTTCAATCACGCACAGGCCACAGCCCCATTTGCGGTGAAAACTAAAAGGGATTAGTATATAGATGGTATATTTATGACACCTAATTACATAAAAGGATTGAAAGTACTATAATTTACACTTTTGTCTAACATAATTTCCAAAATAGATAGTTTCCATAATAGAAATTACTAATATATCCATCTCAATATTAAATCATTAATAAAATATGAAATTGGTAAATATTTATTAAGATATATGAAATCCCTAAAATCAAGCAAATTCAAAATTCAAAAATTGGGATTTTTAGAAACCCAAGATTTCGTAACCTCTTCATCTTCGTTGTTTTCTCCTTCTTCACCACTGTGACAAAACCTTTTCTCCATCATCAAGCTTCCGGTCGCGTTTCTGAAGAGATATCTCCGGCGGGTGCTTCTTCGTTCTCTGCAGAAAATATCTTCGGCGGGCTCCGTCGCATTTCAGAGGGCAACATAGTCACACTTCCTTCGTCTCTGGCGGCTACGTCGACCCATTACACTGTAAGTTCTAATTTCATCTTCTTCCTCCGTCACATGATCAATCCAGCTCGTTATGTCCACTTATACCGTATTTTATGTTATATTTAGGTTTCAATTTTGTACAGAACATTGGAGATATAGTTCTTATTGTATATTCTAAAATTAGGTTTCATTTTTTRACAGAATMTGTTGCTCTCTGGCTTCTGGTATCTCAATGTATTTGCTATTATCGTTTATAACAGTGTATATTTGAGTTTATATAATATAGTGATACAAATTAGGATATATAATATATATCTACATAAAAGTATCTCCATATATACCGGT